TACGCGACGCTTGTGCAGATGATGCTGCTGTTGATGCTCCCCCTTGCTGTGATGTAACAAGAGCTGATAACCTGCTGGGATGTAACCTTTGTGATAGGTGTATCCCTGGCAGTGGCCACTGTGTAGTAACAGTGTGCAGAGGCTCACAGAGTGACTGCAAAGTACACTTGTGTTGTAGACCAGATGATACGGTTGAATTGGCGCTTAGTTGGCCGAAAGGTCAGAAGAGAGAAAGGAGAAGAAGAAGAGACGTAGAAGTGAGCGAGTGGGGGCGAGCACCACGGGGGCGAGCCATCCACCGCCATCACGGAAAGGAAACACACACGGGCTATTCCAACGTACCGATCACGGTAATAGACGGTCACTCCGACCTATGGCAACGTTTCTAGAATATCCTATAGGACAATGGTCCGATGTACCATAGATACTTCTATGGTGCAATGTATACTAACCCGTAGGTGTGTACAATGATCCGATTACTGAATCAACATACCGAAGACTATTCCGGTAATACTCGTTAGGTGAGTACCTACTTACTGTTGTTTACAGCAGTGCAAACTCTAATGACTGACATTGAGTATTCCAACACCCTGTTTCTCCGCAATCTACCAACTGTAATCTCCGTAGAACCATGTCCCATACTCACCCATCTTTACTATGCTAGGAGTATATCTTACAGCCCCCCTGCTCGTATGCATCGTAATGATATGGCAAGCCAAGATAATTCCAATTACGACCCAACCCGTAGATCCTTCTCCTCCATGACAAACGAATATCCAAGAACTCGATTATGCAAATGTTCCTGAATCCACAACGTCTTGTCTCATCGCCTTCATTCCTTCTCTCCAAAACGCTCTTCTTCTGGTCCATCCTTCCTCAGCACTTCGCCGCAACGACACCCGCAAAGTACTCATGTCCCCCGCACAACTCAAAGCATTAAAGAATACATTGAACCAAACCTATCTGTTAGACTCCTCCTCGTTCACGTTCCAAAACACGGATTAATTCGTAGAAATTCGCCTTCGTTGTGCTACGATTGCATTAATCCATCCGTCTTACAAGTCCTACCAAGACAACACAAATTTCGTAAATGTATATGTTTCATGTTTCGCGGATGCCCACTTCGCAGGTAACGCAGCTGGGCATGGTGTGAATCCTCTACTTTCACATTTCCGATCAAACAACATCCGTCTCCAAACATTCGTTCAGCGTGAAGATCATTTGCGCAGAAAATACGCGAGTATTCCTATTGGTTCTCTCTAGCAACTGTATCTAGCTACAACAGGTAGGTAATGAACATCGTGCCCCCCTGCTCTTAGAGATCCGCCCCCCTAGTTTAGAAGGGGTTGGAGACAGAACCACATACCAAAGGAACAATCTTCAATATTCATCCAGTCGAGACCCAAGAAAAACAATCCTCCTGCAAATAAATCCCGACGAAACACCAAAACCAAATCAAATCCAATGCCAAAATGACGTTCGCCAATCCCAATGCTAGAAACCAATCCAATACCCAGGCCAAAATCCAATTCAACCAATAACCAGTCCAATTCTAAAACAATAACATTCGAAACCCTACATTTGCCGGCGCATCAAGCTCCGGCGCTTAACCCATTGCCCAAGCCATTGTTTCTCCCCCCCCCAGCGGATATTTCGCACGCCTTCGCCGCGGTCGCCCTCCGTCTTTCATTTTTTCCAGCTGGCCGCGACTCGAGCTTGGATGTTTGCGTCCGCCTGAAGTGGGGGAAGAACAATTGTCGCTCCCGGAGGATTGACTCGGCGGTGGTGCAAGGCAGGTCGCACGTTTGGAGGGGAAGATGGCGGCAGATTAGTTCCGAACAAACCAGCACTACTGATGAGAATCACATACCGTGCACAGAAGTGACTGCTGCAGAAAAGACAACAAACGAGGCACACTTCCAAGTCGTCGGACCCTACTTGTGGAATGGTGCAATGCATTAGGGAACCTCTGCATTAGGGGACCGTTTCCCACAAAAGTCCAAGGGGAATCTCTGCACTAGGGAACCTCAACGCCACCATCGATGGAGAACCTCTGCATTAGGGAACCTCAACCTAGAATTGCCAGGGGAACCGCACCCAAACAGGGATAGGATTTATGGTTTGTCTGCAAGTACCGATCACTGCGACATTGCCACTCAATAAAATAGCTGAATATCATCCTGAAACGGAGATTGATTAGTCCTCTGTTACAAAATATCATTACAGCCGCTGCTCCTGTTCTAACAATAGGGTAATCAATCCTAAGTCAAAACCATAACAACTTGGAACCGCAATCTCACAACAAACAGCAATCTCAAGACAACCTATAACAATATTCGGATATCAATATTTGTTTCGTCAATATTGTGGATGTTTAATCTGCAACACGGTGGAGGTACCAATCAATGTTGCACGTCGCTGAGACTTCACACGTCTCTGGTACTCGCTGACACAACCAAGACATGAAAAGTTTTTGATCAGGTTCAACCTGCTACCCAAAGAGAGTCCAGATAAAACGTTGACCACGCATTTTTGATCAGGCTAGACCTGCTGCTCAAAAAGTAGCTACCAATAAGAGCCCAGATAAAACGTTGATCACGCTGTTGCCGGGGAGAGAAAGTTGGTCTCAGCACGGCTGTCAGGAAGACAAAGCACAAAACCTCGCCAATCACTGCATTACATTACGCACAATACTAGACTATTTCTAATACCATGCTACACGCACACATCGTATCATCAGTTTCGAAACTGGCATCAGTTTTTGAGGTTTACTGGTAACCTAGGTTGGGTCTACCCATTTGCTACAGGTAGTCGGTCTTTGACCGAGCGGTGGAGTTTGACGGCAGTACCGCACGACGTATTGTCCCGTTTTGATTGAGTAAGCGTTGGCGTTTGACGGCATTACCGCGCAGCGTGTTGCCGCGATTATACTAGAGAAAGAGTAGGGGAGAGAGTTTGACGGCAGTGCCGGATGGAGGTGGAGTTGGAGTAAGCGTTGGCGTTTGACGGCAGTACCGCACGGCATAATGCCGCGTTTTAGGATCTGACGGCACTATGTAGGTGTACCGCATCACCTCATGGGTGTACACATAATGACAGCAGTCCAAAACTGACAAGTCATCACGTGCCTGTTCATGTCTACAACCCCAGTAGACGGCAGGGCGCAGCTGACGATGGCGCTGCTGTAGGTCTCGGGGGTGCTTGACTGCTGTGCAGGCCCTCGCCGTTGGTGGCTTCTTCGTCTGGTTGGGTGTCGTCAGCCGCGCATGCCGCTGCCCATCGGTGCTACCCAATCACCCTCGACAAAGTCGTTAACGCTAGCGTGTTGGGTAAACCGGGTAGGCCGAAGCTTGTAGGTTAACGGGTCCGCCGCCGAAGCTGAAGGAGCTGCTGCAGGAGCTGCTGCGGAAGCGGCTGCAGCAGCATCAGCAGCACCAGCACCACCACCAGCAGTACTGCCACCGGTCTGTGAGGAAGCACTACCTGCACCCTCTGACACGGCACGCACTGGCATCGTCTAGTTTTTTTTTTGTTTGCGCTATTCCGCCGCTTTTTCGGGGTACGTATGTGTATTTCGCTGCCTTCTTTCCGGCTCAGATATGCGTGTGTGTGCAGAGACCGTGTGCGTGCGTGGGTACCTACACTGGTGCCTACCAATCAATACTACGGCAGCGGTCGGGGAGATGGCACCGGGCTGCGTGCAAACAACACCTGTGTGCATTTCATCGGGGATCGCACCGGTCGGAGAGATCGCACCGGGGTGCAATACCTGTTGTGTGTATTTATTTCATCGGTAATCGCACCGGTCGGAGAGATCGCACCGGGATGCCTTGAAAATTCCAAACGAAATGTTTTAATTGCATTTCCGCACCGGGGTCGGAGAGATGGCGCCGGTCGGAGAGATGGCACTGGGGTGCGATAAAAAAAACGAGGAAAAAACAATAGAAAAAACGATCGCACCCGTTGCCAACTCTCCGACTACCGTAATAGTCGGAGTCATCGCACATATCGTCTTTATCGCACATATCGGAGATAACGCACTCCTGCGCGATAAAAAAACGAGTTTCAAATGATTTAATTCGATTTTCGCACAGGTATCGTAGTCATCGCACAGTGTGCGATAGCTCCGATACCTGGGGTGAGGTTGGACGGGATACCGCGACTGGTGTCCATGTTTGGCACGATGAAAGATGCGGTAGTACAGTGGGCCTGTATGGTGGGCTCCACTGCTGTACTTCGGCCGGGGACGGCGGTGCTCAAACGCAATGGCCTGTTTAATTTATGTTGATTTTTTTTCCCTTTGAAACACGCACTACCATACCTACAACCCGACACGAGAGCAACAAACATCTCGACTCTACGAACAAACGGTAGGAATACCGGTAGAAGAGGGCCGGCATTGCGACGAAGGACTCTACTTATACCTGGCCGAAGAAGGCCGGGTGTCTACCACTGCTGAGAAAAACACAACCCAAACCCCACCTCTACAAAGCATGCCAGCTGCAATCACAGAGTTCTGGCGCCAAGGTGTTCCCAACTGTTGCACAACACCTCTACTGCTGTACTAGCAATCCCAACGAACATGTCACAGCTCCACCACGTCCCCATCCCCTTCGATGACCTCTACATCGCTGTCGTCGTCCACGATCTCGACATCGCTGTCATCACCGCGAGGCAATAGCTTCGCCTCGAGCTCCTTTGCTGCAGCCTCGATGTGGTTGGTGTCAGACGCCGGTATGTCCGGAAGCTTGAGCGGCGGTAGAGTGTTGTCGGGGTGCTTGGCAAGCCACTCGGCTCGCTGCTGCTCCAGAAGCTGGCGGTAGCCTTCTCCGAAGTTGTGCATGCACCTGGCGTGGTCTTCGCTGCCGTCCAGCGCAAGGGTGAGGCCACAGATCTTGAAACATGTCTTGAACGTGTCGGCGGTGATGGATGCCCATGCTTGCTTGCACCACGCGGCTACGCGTCCACGCCCTGGTGGTTTCAGCTTGCCCGTCTCTGGGTCAGCTTGGACCGACGCTTTGGTAGTTGGTGTACATGCCCCGCAGCAGCCGCTTCATCCGCTTGTTGAGCATGCGATCAAGCGGCTGGAGGAGAGGAGTCAACCCGCCGGGGATGAAGATGACGATGGTGTTTGCCTGCCTCTTGAGTTCGGCGATGAAGGTGTCGTCCTTGTGGCACTTGAAGTCGTCCAGTACCAAGATGCACGGGCGCTGCTTGACGAGGCTTCCGTTGTTGGGACGGAGAGTCCAGCTGTGCTTGATCCACAGCTTGCACTCCCGCAGGTCACACCAGCTCTTCTCCTGGACGCCGAAGGACATGCCTCCCACGGGGTAGCCGTTCTTGGAGCGGTTCTCGGGAAGCATCTCCCACGCGATAGAGTTCTTCCGCGGTTGAGTCGCCTTGCCCTTTCCGGGCCTGTCCGGCGGGATGAGCGGCGTCCCCTTGAAGATGGTGCGCAGCGGGACCTTCTTGCAGTCCCCCGTGACAGCAAGACAGAGCGTGAAACGTTCCTTCTCTTTCCCTGAGGGAAAAAGAGGGTGCACGGCGTGAGGGGTAGGAGAAGGGGTTTTGAACAATTCTGCGGAACAAGAGATTATGGTTGACATGGATGCAAACGGGAGAGAGAGAGATGCTCTTACCGGTACCTACAGCCGTATCCATCCGATCAACAAAGATTCTCGACCACAAATCCGCATCGCACTTCAGAAAAAGCAACAACACTGCAGCTACGGTACACTCTCACCTCCTGTGGCGATGCGGGCATCCTTCGCGCCAGTCTTCTCCAGGGATGTCTCCACCGGCATCTCGTGCTGGACTGGCGTCTGGTCCATGTTGCCGAGTTCCACGAACACTTCTGCCGTCACTGACTCCAGCTGCTCGGAAGTCAGGTCCTCTCCTTTGATGGGGCTCTCGCCAGGTGCAGGCGGGTTGCGCCGAGCGTAGATCTCATCAGCTCGCTCCACCAGAGCCTCGCGCAGCTTCATCAACGTAGCCCACGCCATACCCTCGTGTCCCTTCGGTAGCTTCTGGCCCACGCTCGTACGCCGGCGGATGCTGAACCCTTTCTGCGCGCGCAAGCGTTGGTACCAGCAGTTGAATTTGGCCCTAAAAGCCAACGCCTCCTCCGGCTTCGCATCCGCTGACAGCCCGCCAAGGGCGTCCGGCTTCAGGTCCAGTAGCTTGTTCATGACCTCCTGGTTGCCAAGACCGCGGTGGAGCTTGCGCTGCTCGTTGATGTACTCCACCAGGGATTCTTCCACGTCGAATGTCGAAGCTTTCGTTCCACTGTGAAATGTCTTGGACTTCGATAGCTTCGGGTTGACGCTGACCTTGCCCTTGAGTGCTTCCTCCTTCTCCACCCACTCGATGATGCGCCTGCGGGGCACGTTCAGCACGGTCGCCGCTCCGTTCTTTCCCACCGGCTTACCATCCTCGCAGATGACGCGCGTGTACGCCGCCGCTTTTAGCTTGAACCCGATGGGGTAGCTCCCTCTCCCCCCCCGTCTTCCCCGCCCTTTCCACTGGGAAGTCGGGCTCAGGGTACTTGCGTTTCTTGTTTGTGTCGGGATCGTTTGCGGCCAGCATCTCGTCGATAGCCTCTCTTGAAGCCTTCGGGTCCGCAGCGGCTGGTCTCTGGTCCGCGGAGGACAAGCCCCCAGCACTGGCCTGTGAGGCCTGTGAGGCCTGCGAGGTGGCCGTAGACCCCGCGCTTGCTTCGTCCGACATGATAGCCATGTGTGGTGCGTGTGCGCAAGCACAATCTCGGGTGTCGGGAAATTGTATGGGTTGTCGGGATATTGTGAGGGCAACTCCCCGTATTTCGCCGCGTCTGCGTGTGCGCGTCATGTGTGTTCGTTGTTCGGTGTGTGTTGTGGTGTGTTGCTGCTACGTCCGCTGTGATTTGATTTGGATCGCACATATTGGAGTCTTCGCACAGGGGTGTGTGTTCGAAATACTCCCTGCACGGCTAGCGTTTGTTTATTTCAGCATCGCACATATCGGAGTTATCGCACAGGGCGTGCGGTGCAACAAGAACCAAATCATTTAATTCGATTATCGCACAAGAGGTACTAGGATTAAGGATTGGCCCCCCGCCCCCCAATGAGGCTGGGGGCCAACATCCAGGATGGATGGTGGTGAGTGTCCGGGAGGAAGGAAAGAAGAAGAAAAGGGGAGAAGATTTGTTGGGGCGGGAAGAAGGGACGGTGTTGGGAGAGGCAAGGAAGTGGTGAAGAATTTCGGCACTCGACGAGCGCGCGGTCCCGTCGGGGGTGAAAGGGAAATGTCAGTCCGTAGTCTTGTCTCTATCGGAATCGAAAAGCCGAAAAATCGAGGTATACATTATGTACATAACGATGGAGAAGGCCGACGAGGAAGGTACGAAGAGAGGAAATTGCACCCCACGTTCGAAGTCGGTGTGAAAACCGCCGCAAGGAAGGAGTGCGGACGGAACAAAAAAGAACCCGGAGACGTCGACGTTTGCGTCGTGGAACGATCCTTCCGTATATCGCAGGTACTCACCAAGGCAAGACAAAGAGGTAAGATACCCATCGTGAAAGTCAAAGCGCAGGTCATAACTGCATATGACTCATGCGCGGAGAAGTTACCACGGAGACTTATCAACAAGAAGTTTGAAGGCCGGCTGAGAAGGTTTGAAGACACAAACACTTCAGCGACGATGGCAAGCGCAACGTCAAAACTTCACAGGAAGAAAAGTGCATACAAGAAAAGTGCATACAAAAAAAGAAAAGGCCGGATGCCGACCTGTGGCTCTCTCGGAATGAAGGGATTCCCACAATTTCCAACAGGTAATCCACAAGTAAGTACGGCCATATGAAGTTACTGGGTAGAGAGAGATCGGAACGATTTTTCATGTGAAGACAACAACAACAACAACAACAATGATGAAGGTCGACCCGTCCTGCGTCGTTCGGTGTAAAATGATAAATGCGAAAGGTGGACTGCGTAAAGATCCAGCGGTCTTTTTCGGCAGTGGCAAAGAAACATGCAACCACATGTCGCAAAAAGAAACAAAGTTGAGCGGGATACTCTAGTAAATAGAACACCGCCTTCTCTGTTGTTCCAGGCAGGTTTGCTTCCACAACCCGGAACCCAACCCACTCTTGCATTTCGGCCTATAAGACTCCAATCGACGCAAGCACCGGTAGAAGAGTGCGTGCAAGATGCCGTGACAGCACAACTCCACTCTCCTACGACATCTATTTACAGTAGTACTGCTGTCGTTGTAGCACCATGTGGAAGATCTCCGAGGGGTCCTCCTGCGCGGTAATGACAACATGGCGAGAGCTCTACGTGTACCTGTCGTCGACACGTGTGGCAGCCGCGCGACACACGAACGGATGTTAGCATCGCACTGTACTATGGTTCGCCGTGGCAGGAAGTATCCCATCCAGTTAGGTCGTTGCGGTAGTACGCGGACGTCGTTCGGCGTCTAGTCCATACTGCTGTCGCAAACACAGCAGTAGTCGAACTATGCATGAAATGTTTTTGCGCTGGTTCACTTTTGCCTCCACAACCCGAGAATCCAACTGCTGTATCTCGACCTACAAGACTCCAATCGACAAACCAGCACTGGCAGAAGTGCGTGGAAGATGCTGTGACAGCACAACTGAGTCGACACTCGTACGACTTCCATGTACAGTCGGCGTCTGGTCCATACTGCTGTAGAAATACAAAAATCGAGCCATCTTTTTTTATTTTTTTCCATACTAATAACAAGAAATGTATCACGTCACGACGACCATCCTGTGAGTATAGACTTAACTACAATTATGTCGGAGGCCTGAGACGCAAGAGTTCAACCATTGTTGCACTCTAAAAGCAAGACGTTTTTTTTCGGTGCATCAGTTCGCGGTCGCCTTGAGACTTATTTTTTCGCCGGCTATTGCCCGCTGCAGCGGGCCAGTCTCTGGATCACAGCGCCCCTGTCGCGAGTTCGAATCTCCAAAGGCGAGTAGAGTTACAGCACGGTGCACGCCACTTTTTCAGTCATTGAGCTAGAGGTTGCGGTGCGGTAAATCGGTTTTAATTGTTTTTAAATGGGGTTTCAACATATGTTTCGGCCGTCTTCGCCGACGTGGGCGTGCCACTTTCACGATCACAGCGCCCCTGTCGCGAGCTCTAGACTCCAAGGGCGAGCCGAGTTACAGCACCGTGAAGTACGGCTAAATCTCCTGCATCCGGGCGCGTCCACGCAAGGGGCTTCAAGGGACTGTGATCTCTAAAGAATCACGCAGCTCATTGGACGAGGTTTGGGAGAACGTCAACTCATTAATCATGACACATACTTGAAGTACAAGCATACATGTAGTACCTAGCACAGACTTTTTTTTGCCGCATGGTCTCATCTGTAGAGAGATGTCGACAGACTGTCCGTACTATGTGGTATGCGTTGTAGGTACAGTTGCATGCATGCATCCTGTCGCCTTCTCTACCGTAAGCAACGCGAACTGGAGTACTGTATGTTCATCGTGTATTGTCACCGCGCGGATGGTTACGTACAACGTATATGCCTCACACAACCTCCAACATACACATATTCTACAGCTGTAACAAGGAAGATTGGCCAAATGTAGATTGTTGTTGTTGTGGTACGCCACAACCTTAGACTTAACTTGCTTTGTTTTGAGCTTGAACATGCACGCAAATCTCACGGCATCATCGATTGCTGCAAGTGCTGCAAGATTGTAGGCATATGTCTTCTGTAATACTGTGAACACTGCTGTTGTTGTATTGAAGGTGCAGCTGTAGACTGCGCTATATCGTATATATATATATACAGTTAAGCAAGAGAGATGAACTTTTCGTGATACCACACCGTTTCATGGAATAATTGCTGGAAGTTAGTCAGAAGTTAGAATAATTGTTGGAAGTTTAGTCAGAATTTAGTCTGTAAAGCGTGAAAACGTGCTCCAGCCCCACCGGCCCCACCCGGTCACTCACTCTCATTTTCGACATCCTCCCCTCTCATCCCCGCATCGACCTTCAGCTGCAACACAACATGAACGCCCTCTCCCGTCGCTCCCCAGCAAAGCGCAAGTCCACCCAGTCAGAGAGAGAGTCGTAGTGGAGAGTCCCGCCGCCCTGTACAAAAGGCCGACCCCAACTGGCCTTGCCCCGGGCCCGACTGCGACGACGGCGGTCACCTTTAGCTCATTAACAAGCGCGACGGTAAAGGCAAGTTTGCCCCTTTGCGACCGTAACAACAACCGCGACGAGGACAGTTGTAGCGTATCCTGCACCATCCTCACCCCGTCGACAACGTACCCCAAGCCGTGCCAGCTCTGCCTCGCCCCGGTGGGAGGTACTCCTTCGCGCGGGGTCTCAACCGAACAGGTCAACAGCCGCGTCTACAAAGGTAAAAGCAATTTCTCTCTTAATTTATATCTAGTAATTTCCGCCTGATGATGTGTGCCCGAATGTTGTTCAGGTGTTGCATGAAGCCCTGACATGAAACTGCATCGCAACCGCAACCGCTAAATCTCTCCACAACAATGCCCTTTTTGCTTGCTGTTGTTGTCAGAGTGGAATAATATCCACGCGGTGTGGCGTCTTTGCGCTGGTGCCAACTCTTCCGACGGCAAGAAGTTCAAGCACGTCACCGTATGCGGATAACGCGCAACACGCAGAACTAGCAAGATCTCGCAGACGAAGACGTGCTGGAAACTTAACGGAACGTCGACGTCGCAATGCAAACAATAACGCACCACACGACTCAGACCCTGAACTCGATATGATACGTCAACATTTTAGCCAAATGAGGAATCGTGCACCAAGGTTACCGGCACCGAGTCTAGACAGCCATCGCGGTGATGCTAACAACCAAATACGCCTTCGAGTGCAAGACATTGACTCGCAATCGGCACGCGTTTGGAGCTAAAACACACGGATTTGGATGATTACCAATATATCACATGTTCTCACTGCAATGCTCAACTTTGGAAAAAAGAAAAAAGATTAAATCGTTGTCACAAAGGCAAGA